GAATCGCATCCTAACTGTGTTCACTCACTGTCTACTTCCACCTGCCAAAGTTCCATCGGTCCTCCAAGCCTACCTCCAATGCCACTTCCTCCTCAACCCATACCCAGTTCCCACACGCCTCCAGCAGTGCTGCCCTCAGCCACTGCCCCAGTTTTCCTCCTCCCTTCCTGCCCTGTCCTCTCACCCGTACCCTCCCGACTCCTCCCCCGAAGCATTGCCAAGCGCACCCGACAGGTAGAGATACATGTTTGCTGAAATAAAGCAGGTGTACTCCGCTCAAAGTGGCCTGCAAACACGGGGACATTCCTGAACACGACATCTCCCTGCTCTGTTATCTTTCAATTTCACAAGGTCAGTGTCTCCATAATCTTCTTGCCCTTAAACCTATCCTGTTCTTCCCAAAGCCACAGACTCCCTGTGGTCATTGCCCACTCAACCCTTTAAACACCACCAGCCTTAGTCTTGCTAGGAAATGGGATAAATGCACAAGACTTTATTGTATCACTCTCTGCAATTTTTCTAGGCCTGAAAATGTCAAAAATGAAAAGTCCTTTGAGACATTTGAAACACCCCCCCTCCCAAAGGCGGCCTGTTTGGATAGAACTATTTCCAGTAAACAAAACACAGACTCGTGGTTAAAAAGACAGGCTTCCAAGTCAAACAGCCCTGGATTTAAACCTGACCCCACCATTGGTGGGCTGTGTGACCTTGGACCCATGACAGACCTCTCTGCATATTAATTCTTTTGATCTGTAAGACGGGGCTGATGCTAAGAGTGCCCACCTTGTAGAATGAGTGGGCTAAGGGAATGAGATTTAAAAAATGGACAGTGATGGGCACAGGGCTGGGCTCATGGTTATTGAGGCTCAATAAACTGGAGCTACTGGCATTGCCTGGAAGACAACGTCTTCCTTCTCCTTACCTCATACTTCCGAAACGATGCTGGGGAGTGCGCATTTGGCCTAGCCGTTCACGTGAGTCTTAGGAGGGCCACATCCCGTACTGGAGTGCTGGGGTTCAAGTTCCACCTCTGTACCGGATTCTAGCTTCCTGCCAACACATCGCCTGGGAGGCCACAGGTGGCAGCTCAGGTAACCGGATGTTGGCCACCATGGGGTAGACCTGGATTGAGTGTCCAGTTCCTGGCTTTGGTGCCCCCAGCCATTGCAGACACTTGGGGATTGCAATAGTAAATGGGCTTTCTCTCTCGCTCTCGCTCTCTCTCTCTCTCTCTCCACCACCCTCCCATAAATTAAATAAATAAATATTTTTTCATGAAGGTTTATTTACATATTGATCTCCTTGTCTCTATAAGACAGTTCCTTACTGGGGTGGTGATTGATTGATTTCTGTGTCCCTTGCATCCCCCACAAAGTCTAAATCATAGAAAAGGCTCCTTCCTGCAAGGCTCTCAATGGGAAATCACCTCAAATTCTATATATACAAATACGTATGTGTATACGTGTCTGTGTGCAGTCACCTTTATACAACCGTATCAGACTCCAGGGTACTGTAGGTTTTCAAGAGCACCTGCTGATCCTTCCCTGAGACATTAGATGGACATAAATACATCAAGCATCCCCAGAAACAAACATCCCTAAAATTGTGACGCCACTAGTCCCTCTTTTGACTTGTTCATTCTTTGACTGATGCAACAAAGATTTAATGAGCAACTCTCATAAGCCAGACAGCAAGCTGGACATTTGGGAATATGTAAAGAGATGGGAGAAAAAAAAACTAGACAGCTCTTACTCTCGAAGTGCTCACAATCTAAGGGGGAAAAAAATGCCAGCAGGTAGGGAGAGTGCTACAGCACAGCGCGGTGAGCCCTGGGCAGGAAACAAGGGTAGCAAAGCCAGGAAGAAGGGGCCAGGGAAGGCCGCTGCCAATCTTATCTCGGGAATCCTGAAGGCTGCATAGGAGAGGGCGAACACAGGCGATCGGAGGGCAACCGCGCACTGGAAGGCAGCAGCACGAGAAAGGACTCCACAAACTGCACGGAGCACGGAGCAGCCGCAGGACAGAGCTGGTGGGCAGCGACAGCAGGCAACGCTGCAGGCGGCACCAGGGCCCTGATCCGGGAGGGTGCTGTTTGAGCTTGATTACTTTTTTTTTTCCTGAAAGTAATTGAGAGCCACAGGAACCTATGAAGGAAAGCTAGAACACACACTTGTCATTTTATGTGTGCATTTTATAAATATCCCTCTGTTAGCTTTCCAATCGCAAAGGAACTCAGGGACAACTATCTCGGGGAACCCATGAGGGTCGTGTTTTGCCCATAATGGATCTCACATCTCGTATTTTCCAGCCAGAAACAAATCTGAAATCATCTCATCTAACTTCCTTATCGTGGAGACAAAACAATGAGACGTGATTTTTAAGGGATGTAGCATTTCCTTTTGTTGTTGTTGTTGTTTGGTTTTTTTGTTTGTTTGTTTCCAGTGAATGAACCATCCTGCCCTACATTCGGTCCTCCCTGAGGTCCCAGTACCACCTGAGGCGTTGCTGGTTGTTCCGCCAGTGTAAGCACGAAAGGCGGTCTCGCCTCTGCAGGCACAGCTCAAGGCAGATCGTTCTCCGTAGCTGAGAACATGTACCCGGTGTGAGAGCCGGTAAAAGTCTGTTCTCTGAGCAGGAGAGAATTGGAGCTGGCTTTATACATTTTCTCATAGTGATTAGAAAGTTAAACCCCTTTGAAATCAGAGATTATTCTTGAGCTTCTAATACTATTTAAATTACAACTCCCAAATCTTGAATGATGTAAGAGGCTAAAATCCAAATGCTGCTTTTATTTCTAATTCTGTACATCCCATGGCAGTTACTTAACACGACAGAAGGCAGCGTAGATTGGCCCTCTAAAAAAAAAAATCTCAGAGGTATGTTCTATGCTGCGATGTTCAGTATCCCCTCAACCCTCTATAAAACAAACAGGCTGCCTCGCCATGTTTTCCATCCAGGAAATCAACAAACCCATACAGATGCATCAGGTTGGTATAGTTCTACAGCTTCATGAGCCACCCTTCAAATGACCGCAGAACAACAAGTCCTAAATTCCCAGCAGGCCATCAACTCATTATTCCTGAAACACATCCTGCAAAATAAGGAGTCTTTATAGACTCCAGTGGTGTGGACAGATTGATTCCACAACTTATAAGGCAATTTCCTTGGGCACGCAGATATAAAAAGCCACTTGCTTCCGGAACCACAGGTAATCACAGCGAAACACAGTGGTTTCTGGAAGAATCCCAAACCACGTAGACTCTGAAAGTGATTGTCATGGGCCTCAAGCGAGCATGCAAGCTGCAACACACATAGCAGAGCCAGGACAATGCATGCAATCAATATATTAAATAAGTCATCTGCCCATGTGAAAGAGAGACCCTGCAAAGAGTCGTGAGACCAACCCCTTGGGGCTCAGCTCTTCCAGACATGAGCTTCCTTTTAACCCCCACAAGCACCTGCAGATTTATTGACATGTCACACATTGGCAACCAGGCTCAGAGCGGCAAGGCTCAGAGCTGTGTTTTATACTCACAGGGGTTGGAAGTGGTCACTGCAATGTGAACCCATGTTTGTGTGTACTTCCTGTGTTTCAGGTGGAAACAGGTTGAAAAGTTGTTGGTGCCTGGTAGGGGAGAACCTTGATGGAGCCTCCAGAAAGATTCAGATAGTCACCGACCTTGCACTACCTATCCATTTGCCTTTGGGGGCTACCCCACCACAGAAAAGTGAGTGTAGAGGTTTTATTCTTCCCATTTAATAGATTAGGACAACTGAGACTCAGAGAGCATGCCTTGCCTGGGTTCCGAGAGAAATCAGTGGCTTTCTTTAATAAACCTTAAATCTCCAGATTGAGGTCCAGGACCCAGGTTCTGTCTTACTAATGTGCTTCACGTATATTGAATGTTATTCAGGCTCATCACGATAGGCAAAAGAGAAATGAAACTCTATAGTGATTTTGTTTTTATGGTTTTAAATAAAAGTGTCGGAAGATTCTTTCAATAAATTTAACATTCCAGAAAAAACTCCTTACCAATCTAATATAGAATCTCAGGATCTCACCGGAGGTGTACTGAGTTTGATACTTACTTGCTACCTAACTTCTAGCCATAGCATTCATTTTTTTACTCTTTTGTAAATGAAACAGAAGGTAAAGGCTTTTGTGTCAAGTCTCCTTGCCCAGACAATGGTGACCTTGCCTGAGCATTGCAGCTCGCGTTGTTAAACTTCTCATTTAAGACCAAAAATCAGACTTCAAAGGATAAAGATACGCAGGAAGTTGTGAAGCTGAAGGCAAAGGCTTCCTGCTCTTTGCTAATCACTCTAGATATGTTCATTACATGCCCGAGCCCAGGCAAGGCAAATATGGAATGCAGAAAGACACCATCTGTTGTGTGGGTTCCAAGTTAGAAATTTAACCCTTCATGTCTCTGTAAACTGCTCTTCAGCCACTCTCCTTCCTCGGGAGGAAAAAGAAAAGGCTTCGTGCATTAAGGAGCTTTAGGAGGACCTGGGGATGATCCCAGCATCACAGCCAGGAAAAAAAAAATCCCTGTTATATTTGACTTTGCAAACAAACACCACACTTCGAGGCGATACCATCAGGTGTGACCCCACAGCAACCCTATAGCAAGCCACGATCTTTTCTGGAACCTTTAGCTTATTGACTGGAGACTCTTTGAAAGAAAAAGCAGAAATTTAGAATGCTTTCAAATCTTTTAAATACGAATAGCAACTTCCCCAAATGAAGAAAGATTTCTTTAAAAAAATTAATACAGAAAACAATAGTACCTAGCCCAAATCACAAACTGTTTTCTGCTTAAATAGTCAAAGGCAACACACAATCTCCACTAGAGCAGATAGTTCCAGTAAAAAAAAAAAAAAAAAAAAAAAAAGTAATGTATCTTTGAAAATGCTTGTGTTCTCTTACTTACAGATCTGAGATACCTTAATTTGTAACTCACACTGGACAAATGCAAGACAGCTCATGCAGGCTGGGCTTGAGTTCACAAAATAGTTTTATTATATGTACGAAAGCATACAGGCAGTAAAATTAAGAAAACATTCACAATACATAAATAACACAGACCTGCTGCAGGGAATATTTTCCAATAGATGTCTGTTCATTTTACCAATGTCATCTAAATATTAGATCAGTTGCTTATCATGAGTACCTTGTAAACATTTCGAAGGAGCTCCGCTGATGTGTCCCCCATAACAGGAGTTAGCGCCTGGCACGGACAGCTGAGGATGTTTCTGGCAGTTCAGGCGATGGCACAGGAACTTGATTCCAGAGCAGAGAAAGAACAGTGTTTGTCCAAAGAGCTGTAGGTGCCTCTGGGGTACTTAACACATCCAAAGAGAAGGAGTCTCCTGTTTCTTCCACCAAAGGGGGGTGAGGGTGGGTCTAACCCGGGGTTGACAATGAGGCACTGTTTGTTAATGTACTATTAACATCTAAAGACTTTTTTTTTTTTTTTTTTTTTTGCCAAATCAATTCTAAATTCAGATTCCAGCACTGTGAGTCATAGCCCTACAGAGTGGCTTGGTTTGCCTGGTGAGCTGAGACACAGGGTGACAGCTTTGGTCCTCGGCGGGGCTACGACACCAGAGCTAAGGAAGCCCGCCGTCTTCTCTACACATCTCTACCCAGGAAAGCCATTCATCTGGTTCAGAAAAGCCACCTGACCCGAGAAATGAGAGAAGACAGAGACGGCCAATTATTTTACATAAATACAAAGTGGCACAGACTCTTCATTACTGCCTAAGGTCAAAAAGTTGGATTCCTGTTAGCTTGGCTCTTATTTTATGATATTTACAGAACTACAAATTCTCCTAGAGCAAGTCCTCATTTTAAAAAAATTTGAATGTAAGAATAGCTATGCTCTTTTTTAAATGTTTCAAAATCTTTCTAGAAATAAAAAAGCATTCACAGCATTTGTCAGTTCTCACCTCGTATTTATTTGTGGTCAAGAAATCATCAGCACTTCCTTGCTGTATTTCTAGAAATTCTATACACGCAGTTAGAATCTCGGAGAGTCTGTGCTGTTTGCTTCATTGGTGTATAAAGTGCTAGTTCAATGGACAAAAATGAGTGGCACGGTCTCTGATAACTCATTCATATTGATCCTATTAGGTATGATAAATATAGAGGTATTATAATAAATTAGAAATATCCATATAATACAATAAATAAATAAAACCAGTATCAACAAAACAACTCTTAGCTCTGGGGGAAGGAGGGAGTTCCATTCCTACTGTAAGGCTCATTGATTTTTATAAATAACATATGAAGGCATGCACCTACCTTTACAATCTGAACACCTGGCTTGCCACAGTGTTAGCACCTGTGTGTATACAGCAACCTCAACCCTTTGCATTTCCTTCCTGGAAAGCTTTGATTTTAAGTGAAGCTGTTCATTGTTGGTTCTTTGCCCTATTTTGTTTTTTAAAGTCTGGAGATGGAAGAAGTCTCTGAAAACAACTTTGGAGGCAAAGACATGTTCCCGTGGCTTCCCACGGGTCCCTGTGTGACTAGGAAGAACACAGCCAATGGACTGGGATGCGTTTGAAAATAGGAAAACAGCAGAGGGCCCGCCAGAAGGCTGACAATCTCACCACACCTTAGTGGCTGAAGAGCAAGCCGCAGGGGAACGTTGTCTAGTTTTGGGGGTGTGCACGTGTAGCAGGATTCACCCCAGATCTCAGGCTGGATGCTGTCCATTCTGTGTGACGGGCTGGATCTTCTCCAGAGAGACGTCAGTGTCGTAGTCCAAGATGACCGAGAGGGCCGGGGACAGCTTCTCCAGAGGCTTGGCGATGGCGCCTGCCTCCTCCTTTCTCAGGTCCTCGGAGGAGCCCACAGCGTGTGGGATCAGATAAACCATATTGCACTCCTTGGAGATGGAGCCTCTCGGCTCGTGATGGCTGGAGAACACCACAGCTCCGTTGTTGTTGATGCTGACCGTCTCTATGGCGTTGTTGGCTGTAGGGCAGAGTCTGTAGCATCCCAAGAGGATGGAGAACGCCTTCCGAAAATCAGCATTGAAGGCGTAGATGATGGGGTTCAAGGAGGAATTAGCCCACCCAAACCACATAAAGACATCGAAGGTGATGGGATCGATGCAGAAGGACTGTGTCTCCCCGGACCCGCAGAAGGGCACCATGCAGTTCAAGACGAAGAAAGGCAACCAACAGCACACAAACACCCCCATGATCACCGACAGAGTCTTCAGAACCTTCGTCTCTCGCTTAAAGGACATCTTAAAGGAGCTTTCTGGTTGAGAACACTCGACGGGGTTTCCGTTCCCGGTGGTGGTGGTGGTCTGGCAATTCTTGGCATGGACCGCTGCCCTCTCCAAGGCTGAGATGCGCCGGATTTGTTTCTGGGCAATCCTGTAGATCCTGGTGTAGGTGACAATCATGATGGCCACGGGGATGTAAAAGCTTACCAGGGAAGAGGAAATGGCATACGTCCTGCTCAGGCTGGAGTCACAGTTGTCCACGGTCTCGTCCAGGGAAGTGGCATTCCCGTCGGGGGGGCTGGTGGGTTTTGCCTTGTGCCAGCTGAGCTGCACGGGGATGAAGGAGATGAGCACGGACAGGGTCCACGCCACGCCGATGAGGATGAAGGCTGCTTTGGGAGTCATTTTTCTCTCATAGCGGAAAGGGCTGGAGATAGCCCAGTACCTGTCCACGCTGATCACACAGAGGTTGAGGATGGACGCGGTGGAGCACATGATGTCAAAGGCCACCCAGATGTTACAGAAGGACCCAAATGGCCAGAAGCCAGCGATCTCAGCCACAGCTTTCCAGGGCATGACCAAGACAGCCACCAAGAGATCCGACACGGCCAAGGAGATGACAAAGAAGTTGGTCACCTTGGACCGCAGGTGCCGGAACCTGATGACAGCAGCACAGACCAGCGTGTTCCCCAGGAGAGTGGACAGGATGAGCAGGGACAGGAAACAGGCAGTGAGGATGCGGAAGGAGAAGGCCCTCTCCACCAGCAGCCCAGCTCTGTCCATGGCAGAAGTGTTCAGAGTCCTCATCTTCCTGAAAGAAAGCACCTTGGGGGCTCCGGCCCCCCTCCAGTGGCTGCTAGGCAGAGATTAGGGGTCAGTCGGACTTCCGGGAGCCCTCACTCACCAGGAAGCCCCTCCACAGCCAGCCCCAGGTGCTCCCCTGGGTGGAAGACGTCACCCACATTCCATCAGAGGAGAGCTACAGTTAGGTGGCAGGAGCCTCTGACTGGCAACTCGAGTCAGTCCCCTGAAGGCTCCTGTTCCTCTCCAGGCGATCTTCTGACTCCCTTGCTCCAGGTCAGGGTCAGGTCAAGGGCACCAGCTGGCCCCTGGATTCCCGAGGAAAGCATCGGCTGTTTAGCATAGTCTAATCCATCCAACCAGATTCTCCCAGGCCTCTGCCATGCCAGTCAATTGCTGTCGCATTTCAGGGCTGTCGCTTCTTTGGCGGTGACAAGGAATTCTCCCCTTCCCAGACACAGGTGCAAAGGCATGTCTTGCTCCTCCAAGCCCCCCCAGCCCGGCTCCTCGGCCAACTCTCCAGAGGCCCTAAAACGCAAAGAAAAACCACAGGTCGCTCGCCAAGACTCAGGCAGATCGCATCTTTACTTCAAGTCCATCGCAGTCCAGTCCCTTGCTGGCCAAGCCCAATCGGGTCACCTACCTTGCCTTGATTGAAGTTGTGTCTCTCAAAGCCCCTGAGGCTGGGAAAGCGGACGTGGCCAAGCGCAGCGATTCAACAACGCCCGGGAGGCAGGCGCGCCAGAGTCCAGCCCGCCGCGCGCAGCCCCAGCCCGAGTGCGTCTCCCGATGGCCCCCAAATCGCAGGGGAGGGTTCGGAGAAGGATCCCGGGCCAGGCCCCCGAGAGGCGGCGCCGCCTCTCTGCCTTAAACCGCTAGAGAGTTTGAAGCGGACGAGAGCAGGAAAGGGGGTCCTGGGCGCTCCGAGCTGCCCAGCACCGCTCACTTTGGGCGGCCGCTTTAGTTTTGCTCCCTCTCTTCCAAGGCAGGCCAAGAGCCCGGGGGTCCCTGCGCCTCCTGGCAGCTCTGCCCGCCGCCTCTCGGGAGCGTGTGGGCACGCGAGGCAGAGAGCGCGGAGCTGGCACCGGCGGGCGCACGGGCCGGCCGGGTTCCCGCGGGGGCACAGCCCACCGCGCCCGCGCGTCCCCTCCCCTGCCCTGGGGGCGGACTGCGTTTGACAGGCAGAGTTGCGGGCGACAGCAGCACGTGGTCCTCCCCCTACGCCCCGGATGGGGCTGCGGGAGGACGGGGTGGGGGCGCCCGGGTGAGCGCTTGCCCTCCTCGCTGGACCCCTCACCAAGGCCGGGACCCCCGGACGGCATGCGGCAGGGGCCGCGAGACCAACCCCGATGGCTGAATCTCAAGTCAGCACGAGTGCCCTGTAAGCCAAGTTCGGCCTTTCGGGAGCTCAATCCCCCAGCCCGACCCCAAAGCCCTAGGCGAGCCGCGACCCTCCGGAACCACGAGAACCCCCGCACCCTGTGCCCCAACGACGGTGAGACGAGCGCCGCGGGCACCTGCACTCACCTTTCTCCGGTCGGCACCGCGGAGCTCCTGGCGCCCGGAAGGCGCTTTCCTCCAGCTGCACGCGGGCGGCGGGCGCGTCCCGCGCGGCGGTCAACGCCGGACTGAGCCGGTGCCCCGCGCCCCGCGAGCGCCCCGAGCCCAGCGCCACGCACTCCGTGGGCCCGGGGCGCCCTCTGCCGGCGCCTGCGGCTTCCCGAGCCCCTGCCGTACAAGACCCCCACTCGCTTAGGCGCCGGTACCCACGAGGGACCGGCGCCCCGAGCCGTTGCGCCCTGTCTGTGCCGCCGAAGCCCGGGACGCGGGAGGCAGAAGCTTCCTCACTCAGGATCCCCTCCCCCTTCCTTGAAATGCCCCTGAAATCTGACGAGGGTGAAAATGCCTTTGGCTGGCACGGCATTCGTTGAAGCAGTGTTGCTTCTGTGTGCCTACTACGTGCGCAGCGCTGGGGCGACGCGGTAAGCCATCCGCACGCCTCCTCTGTAAGGGGACAGAGAGACCTGGCGCGCCCCGAGCAGCCTCTGCGTCTCAGGCGCTCGCCGCGGGTCGCCCTCCCCTTACAACAGCCCTGCGCTTGTCACCTTCGCCCTGCGCAAAGCTGGGGGACTCGCTCTAGCTGCGCAGCTACCGAGGGACGATGCTGTGATTCCACCGGTGGTGGCTCAATTTACCACGTCCGCTCTACTGAAGCCCACAAGCTTCCTAAAGGCGAAAGTCAAGGCAGAGACGACCAATGGCCAAGGAGCACTTCTGCCCTCCACCACCCCCACCCTCCGCCGCTCCTCCTGCTGGCCCCTGGAGGGTCTCGCGGGCCAGACTTGTGCGGTCACCGTGTACAAACGAGCACCTCTCCGTGCCTTCCTGCGCAAGGGGCCGTGGAGTCGCCCTGCCTGGCTTCGTGTCCCTTACTGTGTCACTGTTGGCTGCGGGCGCCCTCTCCTCTCAGAGCTTGGCTTCTTCCACTCTGAGATGTGAAGCTGTAACAGGATCGTGGTCCGGATTCCTGAGATGCTCCCTACAGAGGAGAGGCCTCGGCATCCAACCCAGGAACCCCCCTGGGTGTGTTTAAAAAGGAATTGTCCACAGGCGCTGTGGCATAATAGGGTAAGTAAGCCTCCTCCTATCCAGCCCTCTGCTATGACCTGGGAAAGCAGTGGAGGATGGCCTAAGTGCTTGGGCCCCTGCACCTGCGTGGGCGACCGGGGAGAAGCTCCTGGCTCCTGGCTTCTGATTGGCGCAACTAGAGTTGTCTCTGTAAACATCCCGAACCTAAGTAAGATTCCATGTACTGGCCTGGCACAAACCACACTGTGGTTCTAGATGAAGGATCCCACTGGTGGCACAGACTTGCTGTGCCCTCTCACCCTTGAACTTGCTGGCACACACAGTGTTTCACAGACTGAAGGTCACGAGCAAGTTCTGCCACAGACCCTCCAGGGCTGTGGAGCCTTGGGCCCTGTGCTAGAGGCAGCGGCTCCCCAAGCCCTCTGGGCTCTATGTCTTCTTCCCTTCCCTTTCCTCATGAACACAAAGGTCAAGGGTAGTCTCCTGAGCTTAACTAACTCCTCACAGGCCACGGCCACACCGGCAAAGTGTCTGCTCTGGTTACCCAGAAATAAGCAAGGAAGAAGAAATGGTGGGAGATGGCCCATACTCTTGGGCCCCTGTGCCCACGTGGGTACAGCTGCCAATCCCAATCATGATCATAACACCTGAGTCTCAGGTGTGCACCTCAATGAATAAAGTTCAACCAATGAAGTTATTTGCTATAAATTTACATATGAACTAAACTAAAAACTTCTTGGCAAAAAAATGCCATTCCTAACACCTTTCTTTATATCCTCTTTTCTCTCAAGCGCTCAGCTCCCCTTCCAAAATTCTCTTTCCTTGCTTGGAAATTCCTTTGCATTCTCTCTAAGTAGCCTCTGCTTTGTCTTTCTCTCTCAACTCATTCACCTGCCAAGCCCAGGTAATCAAATCGGTATCTATCCAATTTGTAGTGGTTGACAGATACCACACAACTAAACACCTGCCATTGTCAACATCAGAACATCACATCTCCCACACACCCATAATATTTTTCAAAACTCCAGAAACCCAACCAGCAAAGAGAAACTTTCTAAACAAGTTGAAAAGGAAGGGGAAAACATCACCAGGAAAAGGAGTTGGACTTTTCTAGGATTCCACCATTTTTAAAAAAAAGTTATTTGAGAGGCAAAAAGATGAAGAGAAGGAAAGAGAACTAGATAGGGGGCTCCCAGTACTGGGTTGGGGCCAAGGCTGAAGCCCGGAGCTAGGATGACAATGGACATCTCCCAAGTGGGGAGCAAGAACTATGTTATCTGAGTCAGCATCACTGTCTCCCAAGATCTGCATTAGAAGGAAACAGGAGGCAGAGGCTGGAGCTGGAATTGAACCCAAGCACTCCCATATGGGACACAGGCGCCTTAAAGACATGGCCCACCAGGCTGAATGCTCCCCTCCCCCACCCACCCACCCCCTGTTGTGTGATTCTAAGACAGACATAGCAGTTCTCTTTCTGACAGACTTGGGTCGCTGACTTTCGAACATCATTGTTGAGTGAATAGGAAAGAGTAAAACGTAGCTTAAAAGCTCAGGGTTTTACTTGACAGAAAGTGTGAATTTCAGAGGATCTCACAGTTTGGCTAGAGGTTTGAGAATTTTTTCCCTTTCTTTTCTCTTAAAGCTAAGGTGAACAGGTCTTCCGTTTGTTCTATAAAAATCTCTCCCAGAAACATCAAGAACTGGAATATAAATGCAAACAGGTATTAGCATTAGATCATGCTGGGAATGTAAACTGAAACACAAAAGCAGCTCTCTCCTCCCAAATTGGCATGTCTTTTAAGCATGGCTGTGATTCATGCACCACCAGGAGGGGGAGGTTCAAAGAATGCTTCTGAATATATTTTTATTTGGGGTTTGTGAAAGTTAATGAATACAGAAGGCACACTATCAAGGGGGGGTGGTACTTAATCCCATAAAAAAGAATAAATAAAGCAACCGAGCTGCCAAGGAACCCAGTGATCTATTTGGGACGCTGGAGGATTATTTTTTTTTTCTGACAGGCAGAGTGGACAGTGAGAGAGAGAGACAGAGAGAAAGGTCTTCCTTTGCCGTTGGTTCACCCTCCAATGGCCGGCGCACCGCGCTGATCCGATGGCAGGAGCCAGGCACTTCTCCTGGTCTCCCATGGGGTGCAGGGCCCAAGCACTTGGGCCATCCTCCACTGCATTCCTGGCCACAGCAGAGAGCTGGCCTGGAAGAGGGGCAACCGGGACAGAATCCGGTGCCCCAACCGGGACTAGAACCCGGTGTGCCAGTGCCACAAGGCAGAGGATTAGCCTAGTGAGCAGCGGCGCCAGCCTCGCTGGAGGATTATTAAGGCTAATTTCCCGTCTGAAATGATTCCTTCTGACGCTAGGGAAAGGAAGTGAAGCTTGGCTGACCTTTAAGCCACTAGACCAATTCAGCATCTCAGAAATTCCTAATCCTGTCTTTTGTTTTCCACCCCTTTGATTATTGCATAATTCAAAGAAAAATACTGGAAAAGTTAAGAATCAACCTGTATCTCTGTTGGTAGTGGTTGAAAAGTGGGACCCTGGGCAGGTATCATGATTTCTCTGGTGGCTTCTGTCCTTTTGTCCCTGCTTTCATTTTTAGTCTTTAATGGGTGGTTTTGCTGATCCAAGGGAATCTCCAGGATTGGCTCCTGTTCTGTGGCTGTTATTTTCATAGTTGCATTAGACTCTACATCATCCATCCATATTTATTTCTTACTTTTGTCACAACCCGCCTTCAAGTGCTATTTTAGCATTCTACCTCTGGTTAATTACATCACAATAGTATTTTTTTTCCCACGTCTTCTGAAAACAGTTGAGTGTCTGAAGAAGTGTAAGTACTAAGGAATAAACAGTCTCCATTCACCACGTATCATTCTGAGACCCTTTCTTCCTCTGTGCAGGTCTCTCATCGCACCTGGCATCGTCCTTCAATCTCAAGAATGACCAGAGCCGTTTCTTGTGGTGCCAGTCGACTGGTGGTTGATTCTCTCCACTTTCCCATCTCTACGAACTCTTCATTTTGTCCGCCATTTTGAAAGGTATCTTTGCTAGTTATACAATTCCAGGTTGACAGATTTTTCCTTTGGATGTCTCAATGTGTTTTTCTACTATTGTCTTATTCACCAGGTTTCCAATGAGAAATCTGCTATTATCGTTATCATCGTCCCTCTGATTTTATTTTTTAAGAAAGCTTTTATTTAATGAACACAAATTTCATAGGTACAGCTTTAGAAATATAGCAGTTCTTCCCCCGATACCTGCCCTCCCAACCCGACTCCCATCCCACCTCCTACTCCCTCTCCCATCCCATTAAGATTTGTTTTAATTATCTTCATAAACAGAAGCCCAACTCTATACTAAGTACAGATTTCATCAATTTGCACCCACATGCACACACACACACACACACACACAAAGTATAAAGTACTGTTTGAAAACAAGTTTTACAGTTAATTCTCATAGTAAAACTCATTAAGGACATAGGTCCTACGTGGGGGATAAGAGCACAGTGACTCCTGTTGTTGATTGAACAACTAACACTCTCATGTATGACGTCAGTGATCACCCAAGGCTCTTGACATGATGTCCCTCCGATTTTAACATGTCCTTTTTCGTCTGGCTGCTTTTAAGATTTTTTCCCTATATCCCTGATTTTGAGAAATTTAATACAGATGTACCTCACTATAAATCTTCAAACTTTCTGTGTCTTTGGAGTGTGCTGAGTTCTTGGATCTGTAGATGTATTAGTCGGCTTCCCATCACCATCGCAAACACCTAAGACATGTGGAGTATGGAGGACGAATCCTTTCGGCTCATGATTTTTTTTAAAGATTTTTATTTATTTATTTGACAGGTAGAGTTAA